TTTCTTTTTTTTTAAACTGTATTTGATTTCTTAAGAAGGACAGTTACACAGGAGGACAAACCCACTATTAGAAGTTCTGTATGGAAGTTGTAGTCTCCTCATAAATTACTAAATTGATTTTTTAATACAAATAAGTGAACTTGGGCACATCTAGCAGTTCTCTAAGGGCCTGTTCACCCTGAACAACCGATCCTAACCTTGAACAAGCCACGGAGGAGAGAGACTTGGGCATGTAAATCTGACGAAGGGCAAGAGGGATGGATGTGGATAAAGGCAGAGTTAAGGAGAACAAGCGGAGCACAGCTCGGGGAGGAACAAGGAAGGAGGAAAAAAAGGCCCAAAAGACTGGGAAAACACAAAATCCAGAAACCAAACACAGTTCTCTTCAGACTGCTTCATGCTACCCACTCCTCTGGTATTGTTATTTTTATAATGATTAAATTTAAGTATTTTTCTTGCTGATTTCTACATTGAGATGATACAGAAACAGAAAACGTGTTATATGTATTTTTAAGCAAAGTAAAAACATTTAGAAGAGTGGCTTTGTGGGAGATTAAGACAATTAGCAGACAGACAGCCCGTGCTCCTTTGACAGGGACGAAGACTCCTGTCATTTTATGGAGGTAACCAAAGAATTCCAGTAGTTATGGCAGTTTTTGGCAGGGCTTTCATTTCAACTTCAAGTTTCACAAGGCTTTTCAATACATACGCAGCCTGGCGATCCCCAAAGAAGTCTTTGATGAAGGAAATTTAAATGTACAGGAAACTCCTTAAGAATAAATTAATATGAAAATATGCCAAGAATTGCATTCACTCCAAACTTCCAGGGAAACAAAACATATATACACACACACACAGGCACATGTAGCTTATTTAGCTTGGTGAACTTCCATAAAACCAACAAGCTGATGTTGCCGCCCCTCGGCATCACAGGCCATTCTTACACGTGAGTCAGGTTTGGAGCTTGGAGGACTAAGTCTGAAAGTAAAGAGGTTTTGGCTAGAGTCAGAGTTCTGACTCACAGTATGGTTTCTGAAATGCAAATTATATATTTTATTTGACAGTTTATATTGCTAACAGTCACGTGAGACATTTTCAAAAGCATGGTTTTGGCAGATTTAAAGTTACGTTACTAATAAGTGTAAAATTATCATAAAACCATTGCATCCTGCCATAGGTCCAGTATCTGTTGAAGCAAGTGTACTATCTTCACTACTTGGAAGAAACTATTCAAATACAGTTCCAAGATAAATTTTTAAAAATTAACTAATAAAAGTTGGGCTCTTGGCCAATCTAGACTGCCAAAGGTAAGCTGTTCTAGAAGAGAAGGAAGTCTGGCTTTTCAACATGCTACAGCTTCATGAATAAAAAATATTTTCAAAAATGTTGAGAGACATTTAAACTTCCTAATTGACTGTAAAGCAATTATACTCCAAAAAGATGTTAAAAAAAAAAAAGAGAGAGAGGGATATCAAAGAAGGAATTTCAACATCAGAGGGTATGCTTAAATTGCTTCTGAAACATGGTAACCGTGAAGGCCCCTTCCAACTCCATGATTCTTTGATTTATGATTAGGAATCACAACAAATTTTATGAGTAAACAAGAGAAGAATGTTTTGAAAAAAGCGTTCACACACACACACAAGTTTCTAATTGATATTGAAGCTGAAGAAGCAACTTTAACAGTTAATGAGAGGGACTTCCCTGGCGGTCCAGTGGTTAAGACTTCGCTTTCCAATGCAGGGTGTGAAGGTTCGATCACTGGTTGGGGAGCTAAGATACCATGCCTCGTGGCCAAAAAACCAAAACATAAAACAGAAGCAGCAATATTGTAACAAATTCAATAAGACTTTAAAAAAAAATGGTCCACATCAAAAAAAAATCTTAAAAAAATAGTTAATGAGAAAAATGATACAGATAACTCTTGGAAAAAAATTTTTTCCCCACACAACAGGCCACCAGATTTCCTAGGGACAACAAAGAGTCTTCAGGATTCACTTTCTGTGGCAAAAAAACTTTGTGGCCATAAAACCTGCCAACCTTCCACAAAAGCTCAGACACTCAACTTATACCTTAAGGACTGAAAAAAAAAATATGCGTAGAATTCTCATCCCTAGATTTCATAACAAGGAAAGACCTTAAGAGATCATCTGGTTCAAAATTTCCCAAAGTTGGTTTCGTGAAACATTATTTTCCCCAAATGTTCTGAATAGTGGCGAGGTGATTCAGATAAGTTTGGGAGCACTCTTGAGAGTCGTAATGTACATTAGGCATCAGCAAAGCTGAGAAGCCTACAGAAAAGAAATGGTTAAGTTTTTTTAAAAAAAACTTAGTTTTTATCCAACCTATTTGAGCACAGAACCCTTTCTGCAGTAAGTATTTATTAAAATCCTGTAAAATTAATGTTTTGTAGAAACCCCTTGTCTTATATACAGAGGAAGTGAAGTCCAGACAGGCTAGGGGATTGTCCCAAGGTCATACACTTAGTAGATACGAAAAAACAGATCTCTCCTTTCTAGACCCCACCTCAGTGCTCTTCCTCGTGCTGTGTTCTCTCTCCTACAAAACCTGCATTCCCTGAAGGATCACAGACTATATAAACCAGACCTTGGATGTCATCTAGTCCAAAGCCCTCCTATTTAAAGGTGGGAAACAGTCTCCACAGAGAGACTGAAAAGTGACAGAGAAGGAAAAAAGAAAGTGACACAGAAAAATCAATGCCTGTAGTAGAACCCAGCTCTTAATTCCAATGCTACTATCCTTTCCACAACAGCATACTAGCTCCTGGAAAGCCAACACTTTTTGCCTCTGAGGAAAAGGACTGATGAATGAGAGGGGATTTAGCTATGCAGGACCCAGTAAAATATTTATTAAATATTTTTAATAAATGTCAGTAGGTATCTTAAATCAGTTAAACATGATTGTCTTTACTTACAAATGTCATCCACTGTGACAGGGAATCAATGTTTCAAGCTGTTGAACAGGTCATCATCCCTGTCCTGTTGGATGACACCTGTAAATAAAATAAATCTAGTTTTGAGTGAGTAGATTTTAAGCCAACTAGATTTAAGATGCATGCAGTTTAAAGCAAAGAGTAGTTTTTAAGAGATGATTCTTAATCAAGGCTTGCTGAAGAGAAACACTTTCTGGGCTAGCTACTTCACTCTATGTCACTGGCCTTCAGCACAAAAAAATCCAGGTAATTTAACGGGTAATGTTGCCAGAATACATAGGGCATCATGGATCCCAGAGTTAAAAGCGTCCTCTAGGCACTAGCTACCTCAGTCTCTTGCCTCTGTGAATATTTATTTTCATTTTGTAGGAGGGACAACTAAGCCCCTGTGAGGTTAAATGACTAGCCCAATGTTAAATAGCTAAATGTCTGTAGCTTGAGTCCCTTAACGTACAAAAATGTATACAGAACACATTAGCAAAGGTTATCATTAGGCTGATCAAATTTGAAAGACTCACAGGTACGTATTTAAAACAATATTTCACAGATGTTAACTTAGAATATTCAAGGCACATCTTCATAACATATAATATCAGTATTAGGTATTTAAATACAAGCATTACTGAAAAATGCCATGAATGAAAAATAACCAAAAGTGAGAAAATGGGAACTAGAGTGAAAAGAACAATATTAAATACAGCATGCATTTAGGACTCTAAATTCTGGTTACTTCCAAAAAAGATGTGTAGTTCCTAACAACTTTAAGTGGATGAAAAACTATTTGCTACAGACTATAGTTTAAAATGTTGGTTTCTCTGCAGCCACAAAATGCCACTCTAAGTAAGATCTGCCAGAAACTAAAATTTGAAATGGACAATGAACATCTGAAATTTCCATTCTGTACCTAAATACTCCAAGATAATGGGAAGTATTTTAGGATGCTACCATGAGGTAATATGACTGTCACAGTAACATTACCACCAAACTCATATTGAGTGCTTACTTTGTGCCAAGCCCTCTTTGATTATTTTATACATACTATCTCATTCAGTCAATCCTCAGAAGTTGATTGTTATTACAATTTTACAAATAAGAACATTAAAGCACAGAGTCTCTGTAACTTGATGAAGTCGCTCAGCTGGTAAAATGATAGAATTTGAGCACAAATCTATTTGGTGACAGAATCAAGCTCCAATGACTATATAATACTACATTTCTTTAATATGGCAACTTAAGATACTCGAGAATATAAGAATTAGCTAACACAATTACAATTAAAATACATAAAATTATCCCAACTAAATCCCACACGATATAAAACATGAGAAAATTCTCACTTTTTCTTGGGGGATGAAAGGGAGGCTCGGGACAATTTTCAAAGTAAAATTATCTTAATGCCAAGGAATTAAAACTTCTGATGTTAACCTTAAACACATTACAATTAAAATATGACAAATGAAAAACTTAAATTGTCTTTCATAATGAAAGAAAAGTATATCTTCCGGATTCAGTTACTTCATAAGTCCATAAAGAGATAAATTCTCCTGTTACTCAAGACTGACTGATTCTCAAAACAGTATAACAGTTATTGATAGACTGAATTCAATCATGTGTATTTGAGAATACATATTATCTATCAATTTGCTAAAGAACAGAACTTTCATAAAGTAAATTATCTTTAAGGGAAACAAAGTAAGTTTGATAGATAATGGGACCCCCTTAATTCTTTATGTAATATAGCTAGTGTAAGTTATGCTTCTGACCAAAACCCCTGAACTTCTTTACTAGGAGTCATTTTTCCAACAAATTTTTAAAACTGTGAAACTGATAAAATAGGAAATAATCAGGAGTACAAAGATATACCTGACATATTTTAACTTAACAAGAATTAGATATATCAAAGCTCAGCATCACAGAAACTAGACATTAAGGAAAATGCATATCCTTTCCAAAGCACTGTGGAGAAGTCAATTTCTTCTGGCAATAATGGTTTTCTTATAAGAACCCCAAACAGAAGAAGACAAAGTGTGGTTTCATGGTAGCTTACCCTTTTCTCTGATACCCCATCCTGGCCTGTAGAATCTTTCTCATCAAGTGTCTCTTTCGGGACTGGCATATGTTTTTGGTATGCTGGCTCTCTGTTTAAGGTTGTGTATCCTATGTGCTCATAAATTGGGTTTATCGTCATCTTGGCAATGTATTCTGCTGCCTTGGTTTCAATATAGAGAGTAATCAATCCATCAGTCACCAGATCGTGGATGGACTCAAAGCGCTTCTCCCCAACAAAGTGCTTTCCATCGTAGTAGAGCCTGAAGTTTCTGGTTTGACTTCCAAATCTGCCTCAATGAAATGGGAAAGATGTTTTTAAGAAAAGTAAGCAAGTGAATTCTTTCTGAAAAAAATATTTAAAACTATTGCTTTGTGTGTATCTTCTTTGTTTAAACAAACTGTGGCTAATCTCTATGAGTCGTCTGGAATATGGAAAATTACACTTTTGAACACAAAGAATGAATCTGCAACAACTAGGGATAACTAGCCAAAAGCATGCCTACCCTAGAAGGAAAACCTTGCTCTTATTCATCTTTTTTAAGCCACTTCATTACGTCTGTAGGAAAAACACGGGAAAATAAACCTCATATACTATTAGAACACATTCAATAATCAACTGGTCAACTACATAATGTATGAAATTTCTATATTAGCATGTTCTCTCCAAGTTGATCAACAAAAGTATTCAATGTACTTCAGACCCCAACATTCATGTCTTTCAATGGGAAAGCTCCCTTTAGGGCTCACCTGAGTGTGATGCCAGCAATCATTTAAAGCAGAGCTGATTCCAGAACCTGAGTCATACAGTAGAGCAGGATGGCACACAAACACACTTTTGCTATTTCTAGCCATGGGTCAAGGACTTGCTCTTCCCTCTTACATAGTCATTCTTCTGTCTGCTTGTTGAGTTTGGGCAAGATATGCTTGCAATATATATAGGGCATATAAGTTATCAACTATTAAACTCTAGAAATTCTGTTCTCACTTTCGAGTCATCTTTCAGTGACATTTTTAAAAACCTGAAGAATGACTTACTTTTATGATAATTTCAGTATTTTGCTTCCTGTGGCAAACCTTGGAAATGGATCCAAGTTGGCATGACTAGCATCAGCGTCCTTCCAAGATGACAAAGACAAGAACATGCACTGACTTTAATAAAAGCTGATGCCAAAAGGCACCAAGGGCCAAGTCACAGTCTCTGGAAGCTAGCTCCGAGTGAGCTTAATTTAAAACTGAACAAATCAGACAGGATATATTTAATTTCACTGTTAAAAATACACAGAACAGAGATGAACTAAAATACTAAATTAATAGCTGTTTAAGTAAAGTGTTTAAATAGAACTGCAAACTTATGCAACAATACTATTCTGGTATAGGTTACATTTCAGGAGGACAGGAGTTAGAACCTTCTTAAGATTTCACTTTAAATGTGCCCTAAAAAAGGGAAACAAAAAAAATTTTTAATAGTGGCCTGAGGTATCTCTGTTTCTGTCGTTCAAATTAGACTTTAATAGTTATTTAATCTAGAACCCAATATTCTATCCATGCTGGTCCTTCTTCTAAAATAAAATTGATCTACCTTTTGGTTCTTTAAAAGCAATTAAATTTTGATTTATACTCAAGTGAATGATCCATATAATTCCACTTTCCCATTCTCATTTTCCTCTAATGTTAAAAGACATATTTCTCCTAAGTAAATTTTCATTATAATGCAGGTCTAAAAAGTTGGAAGGTAAAATTTCTACACCAAAGTTAAACATAAACTTTTTGTCAGTTTAATATACTGCTATTTCCTTTTCACTAATTTTCATCATTTGTTATTGAGAAATAAACATAGCCACTTCATACATTTTATAAGGTTCATATAGCAATAAACACAACATTGTTTAACATTAAGTTCCTTTATATTTCAGTTGTATTCAGAGGCATTTCAGCAAGGGATTTAGACCATTTTACTCCTGCAGGGGCTTAAGATTTTACAATAAGCAGTTTCACAATGGGTATGGCACTTAAAATAAAGACTATCTAAGTAATGGTGGCAGGCATTTGTCACTCAACTGTCTTCTGAAATCTGAGAAGTATGGGAGCAGAGGGTGGAAGGGAAGATGGCTGAACTGGCCTACATGGGTTGGGATGGTTAATCAAAAGAGTGGAAATCTAAGGTTAGATTTCTTGGCACTTGACAATGGAGCTGTTTCTAAGCCATCCAAGAAGAGAGTTTCCTGGCTACCTCTAGGTTATTGGGCAAAAAAGTCTAAATAAGTTTGTCCGTTTCTCTTTCTCAACTCAGTGACTTTAAGAGACCATATGCACAATTCCCAGTTCCTCTTCAGCCTGTACTTGAGCTCTAGACTTCCAGTCCAATCAAGCTTCCAGCCTTAAGGAAGCTGATCAGATAACTAAAATAACTCATAATATGGGTTGATTAAAACAATGTCAAAGGACAAGAAAATGAATTTCCATTTTGGAACTATGACAATTATGATTGAACTTTTAAGAAAAATTGCATTATTTTTACTAAAGGAACTGTAAGCTTTGTAAGCCTACTCTGAACATCCCTCTCTTTTATTTTGGAAGCTACATAAAAAACAGCATCGCCCTACAGACTGACAGAGAGATTTCTCCCCTTCCTTGATCTGAAAAGGCATGACAGAGAATCTTTGAGCAAGGTGGGGAATGAGTGTGTCTATTCTACAAAAAGGAGCCATAAAAAGGAGATGCCAAATCTAAGGGCAAATAAAGAATCCTTCCTTATAAAACTTATCACTCACAGACTGTCATTTATACAACATTTAACAAGACACCCAGGAACTCTTAAATGTTAGGTAGTTCATAATAAAGTTCCTGTTTCCTCGATAACCTCAATGGGAAATAAACAAACATAAAAACAAGTCAATACAAAGACAAGATGAAATTGCTGAATTTTAAAAAGTTCATCTTTAGATTGATTTCTAAAAAATGATTATAATAATGTGTATAGCCTTGTTCATATACAGAAAAGTTACATTTCTCTACAGTGATACATGAAACCAAGTAAATCCAGTATCTCCCTCACATTAAGAAAACCAAGAAACTCACTGTTTAACTAGATCGGACATATTACACTTAAGCCTACATAAGATCTCAGAGCTACTGTTTATGTCCCAGTACAAAAGACCTTTGCAGTCTTGAAATACGGTTTGGACAGGGACAGGCAAGTCCCAGGTCCTATGTGTTTAACAGAAAACCTCAGGCTTCAGCATCAGACAAATTAAGTTTAAATCCTGGATCTGCCACTTAGCTGCGTGATTTTGGGAATATTATTCTTCAGATTCTGCATCTAGAAAAGAGGAATAACATTACCCTATACAATAATAACATTACACGGCTGTGAAGATTACATAAGAATATTTAAGTTAAAGCTAAGTACAGCTGACCCTTGAACAACACAGGTTTGAACTGCACTGGTCCACTTAGAGACACGGGTTTTTTCAACAGTAAATCCTACAGCACTACACTATCTGTGGCTGGTTGAATCCACAGATCTGGAACCATGGATACAGAGGGCCAACTGTAAGTGATATGCGGATTTTCCAGTGTGCAGAGGGTAGGTGCCCCTAACCACCATACTGTTCAAGGGTCAACTGTATATAGTACGTTCAACAGTAGTCCCCTTTCTCCTCTGTTAGCTTAGACCTCTGCAGAGAATTACAGAATGATTACCAAACAATAAAGTAAAACAAAAGATGTTCGATAAATATGCACTGAAGACAGCTGAATAAATAATTGGTAATGCTGGTTGTATAGGAACATCTCTGCGCGGGCTGACTTTACAGTCAATGAAAGACAAGGAGTTCTTTGTGACTTTTTTTTACTCAGGATACCCCTGAGTATGTTTATACCATGTGGTTAACTGAGTGGAAATACAACAGAGTGCAAAGAGGGGAGGAGAGAAGCTGGGAGAGTCCTTCCACAGGAGCTTGGGAGTCAGGTTTCTGATTTCAAGGAAGAAAGGTGAGTAAATATACTTGTATTGAAAGCAGGACATATTAAATGGATCTAGTGACGACTACTGAACTCTTGAAGGCAGAGTACTGATTTGTAAAAACGGTTAATGCTAAACCATTTTCCCTGCATTTTTATAGGAAAATATTCTTTTCACTTTTTCTTATATTTATTTCCTGCTTCTGCCCTTTCTTTTACATATCTGTTCATTCTTTTGATGAATATGTTTGAAGCTGTATAGGTATAGGTCCAACCCTCACCTAGATAGAGTTCAACAAGATGAAAATTCATTTTCTCCAAAGTGGTACTGTAGCTAACAAATAGAAAGACTGGGATAATCTGCTCTGAACTGCTACTGTTGTATATAATTACCACTTTCTACAAAGAATGTCTTTTTCTCCAGTGATTCCAGGTTTTGGTTTTCATGTTTTAAAAAACTGTTTAATGCTGTGCCCAGCTGCATTCAAATGAATTTCAAAATACATAATTCTAACAGCTAGCTTTAAAAAGTGAACAAAACTCTTAATACCATCCTTTCTATTTTTTAGCAAGTAAATCGCACTCATAAATACTCAATCCAGAGGTACAAAGTGATGAAGATATATACAGAGAATAACCTTTGGGATCTTACTTTACTTTTTCTAAAACCAAGAATTAGTTCTGATTTGAGGCCAAAGTATTTGGAAGTATCTCCAAAGGAAAGCTCCAAGCTAACAGAGGTTTTCTGTTAACAAACTGAAAACAAAACATATACAACACACTTGTCTAAGTTAACAATACAATGTTAGAACTATTTCCAGAAACCAACACAGGAAAACAATTTTATTTATCACAAATACGTATTTGTGTATTGTTTAGCAGAATCAAAGAACCTAACCTAGTGGTGAAATAAAAATGTTTCATAAATTCTTCTAACCATAAACATACTCTCAGAACAAGGGTTAAAACAGAGACAAGAATATGATGAGGCATTCACTTAAATACTAAAAAATGAATCTAGATTGACTAAGAAAGGCTAAGGGAGACAGACTTAGCTATATACAATTTCACAATATTTTCTCCATCTAAAATTTTGTTAGGATACTACTTTTTTCTATCTTGCTGTGTAATTTTGGATGGCAAAATGGGGCAAAATATTAAAATATGTGAACTCATGATGATATTCCCTTGGCAAAATAAATCATCTTCAGGAAAGAAGCAAACCAATGTACCTAATTAAACGTTCAAAAGTGGCACCAGGCAGCTCTGCAAGGTGGAACTGATACGGAAGAAGAGTTGAAGAAAGTCTGTTTAAGAAACAGTT